GTTTTACTGATCCCTTGAGGCAATCAAAAATACCTCTGACAGCTCTAGTAAAGAAACACATCCAAGGCAATAGCCTACTAGGCCTCCAGCCATGACATACTGTCGGCCCATATGCTAAGGTCAATAATCACAAACTGAACCATGACATATACTCGCTCTGTCAGCCAATAGACTTTTCAAACCTGTCTTCCTCCAGACATCATCATTTCAGCCTCTACATTCCCTGTGGGATGCGAAGTAGACAGAATAGTTAAAGCATCCTGGAAAAACATCCCTTTCTTGTGGAGACTTATTAGGTTTTATAAGAATCACTTCTTTCCATGATTAAAGAGAGAGTGATCATCATCTATGACTTCAGTCTGGCTCTGAAGCCCTGCTAAATCAAAAGGAGATGAGGAAGGTAATATAAACTGGGACAGACCTTGACATTGCTCCTGCTGACTTTTGTGGAAGCCAATGAACTGATGGGGATGGAATGAAGAGCGTTACACCAAGTTTGTTACCACCTGCTCTCTAGAAGCACCTTTTTGCACAATATGTGAAAAAAAGAGCTGGGCTAAAGGCAGGAACTTCCATCCCAAACTCCAGCCCTCTGTGGACACAGCAGCAAGATTTGAACCTGCAGGATCACTTTGAGTTCCAATGGAACCACTACGTGAACCAGCAGGTGATATTTTTTGGGTTAGCACAAGAGACAACACGCACATCAGATACATAGTATGTGTTTTCACACGTGTGAAATACATCTTCCCCACATTTTCATTCCTTCCAGTCACAAACATGTCTTTCCAAAAGCCTAGAAAACAGGGAAATTTTCAAGGAAATAAAATTTAGAGTGATCTTTTAAAAACCCTAGAGCACTAGGAATGGTAGGTGTCAACTTCTCCTGTCACATAAAATTTCTACCTCAGCTTCAGGCCTAACTCTTTATCCTCCTGCACTAAAAAGATGTCAAATATTATTTCCTAGAGTAGCATTTGACTTTTCATTATTTCTTAACCTGGTTCCAATGACATAAAACTACTTTTAAGGAACCCCAAACTGGAGAGATTTCAGACATATCAAAGGCTACTCTTTCCTAACTAATATAGAAAAGATATTTCCTTGAAAGGTAGCATGACAAGTATTTTAAACCTTAATAGTTTGTTTCCATTGAGTAAAGAAAACAATGAGCAGGCTAAAAATTAATCAGTTGCTAGCTTCTGTGCTTTTCTTCGGATGTTTTTACAAGCAATGAATTAAAATCAATGTTTATTGCTATGCAATCCCAGCTGTGTCCTTATTAAGCAAGTCTAAGTTCAACATTTCTGTGATAAAGGGAGCCTGTCCTCCCTCCCTTTGCTATGTTTTCACCCCCTGCATATGTAGGTGGGAGAGTGGGAGCTTGGGAATGCAAACTTGATCCAACATTGATCAGTCAGGCAGGAAACTGTTATTGTTCTTAGATACCAAACATAATTCCTTCCTAGTACAGAGAAGCTCAGCCATTCTGCACATAATACAGCTTTTGTGTTCAGCAATGCAATCAATAGGAAAAGGGAATGGAAATGACTGCTTGAGATTTATTAAACTTAAAGAGATCCCAATGAACAGCACACGAAATCCAGCCCACGCTTATTTCAGAACATTTGTTTCAAACGCACTTCAACTTCTCGAACAAGTTATCACTTGTGCAGATTTACTCTACTGCTACAAGCGCTTTACCTCTGAGCTGAACACACACAACACTGAAAGGCAGTCTGAAGAAAAACAGAATCACTTTTGTGAATATCTGGCTTTTAACTGAAGAGGCAATCCAATGTTTTATCAGGTCATAAAACTAAATCCAGTGAAGTATCCTCCTCATCCTTCCTCTAGACTTGTGGTCCCAGCTGAGAATCTCAAAAGCATTTTTTTTCTTAATTATTCATTTAAGGAATTGAGACTCATAAATTAAGACTCCTAAAACTCAGTTTTAAAATTCACTTTTAGAATTCAGAACAACAAAGGCACTAAAATGTTACGGCCAATACTTTCAAATCTAACTTTTAAAAGTTACATCCAACCTCGACACCAAGTTACTCAGTGCCCCCGAGCATCTAACCTGAGGCAACATGTTACCCAATTACAGACAGTCATCACACAATACTTTGTAATAACACTATTTGGATTTCAAATGTGTGTGGTTTTCTCCTAAATCAGTAATCACATGCAATGCAGAAGAAACTTACATCAAACCCCCCAAAATTATAGCAATACTCTAAACCATGCCTGAAATTCAAGAGCTCTGTAACAAATTTGTGTTCTTACTAACATTTAATGATGTATCTTTCTAGATAAGCAATGTACTTCTGAATTATTCTACAAACAAAAACACACCACTGTTGTACCTCATTTAGGAGTATTTTAACTGCAGTTTACAGGAATAGCGAAATAAATTGCAAGGCTGTTTTATGCCAGTAACCTTCTTTAGATCAAGGCAGATCTATTTAAATAATAAAAGACCGTGCAACTTTTTTGACAGTTTGTTACAAACAAAATTCTCTGTATCCTATGGTCTATCTAGAGAACTTTCAGGTGGGTAGTCTTTATCTAAAGCATTTTTCAGAGTCAACCAAGACTGACCAACTCAGAACAAGTTCGTCTGTCTTGTTTATCTTCATGATTCATCTAATATTTATGCATCTACAGCACTGTACACGTTGATTACACTTTTATATTTTCCCAAATCCTTTATTCTAAGAAAATGGGATGCAGTGTTGTCAGTATAAGTGATAATTTTTAAAAAACCACTGCACTAATAATTTGTATTAAAAAACTTCCTTCTTATTGTGCTTGCTATCGCTACAGAAGACATTAAACAGTTGATATTGTTCACCTATGCTCATTTACATTTTTAAGGATTTAAGAAAGATCTTTTAATCTTCCAATCTGCAAACTTGCTAATAGAAAAAATATACCAATTTTCTTGAGGGGAAGTGCCTATTTTTCAAAGTATAGTTTCATATATAAGAATAAGTATATATGTTAAGGCAGTAGTTATGCTTTCTCCAGATTATTGCTCAAATAGAACTCAACCATCAGTTGAATCAGTTATATTCTCTGCACTGGTATTAAAAACACACACAAAAATCTCCAGGTTCAGATAAAAAAAAAAAATCAAGGGTAAGTATAAACTAAGTATTTAATCAGCAGCTTGCTGTTCCTGGGACTAATACTTAACACTAATTTTGGAATTAATAATCTAAGAGATTTAGTATTAAACTTTATTAAATACAAAAGACAGAGAAGAGGCCAGCATGCTGATGCTCAGAAGAAGTAGAATACTAAACCAGCACAATTCCCGTTTGTATTTTTTTTACAGAACAGCCAAACTACCAAGGAAATCTCTGTAGTCTTTAAAGAAAATTTACATCAATTTACAGATCTACTGAGTGTGGAAATATTTTTGATGCATGCTTTCTTTACACAAGTAATAGATACTTGCAGGGTATAATGAAACTACTCTCTATTCACTCTGAGCAACTTATGGAAAACAGAGTTCAGTTTTCACATTAACCTAAACCATTTTCAATTCTTCAGTATGCTCCTGTCTTCCTTATTTGTGATTTTAGAGTTGATTGGCAGACACCAATAAAGCACATCTTCAAAAAGATATGTGTAAATAAAATGCCAGAAAACTCTTACATTTCAGCAGCCAGTTCAGACTCTTATAACTACAGCTGTGCAACATCAGTCTCCCCCACATACTTCAAGCAGCTGTTGGACAACCTATGCAGTTTTATTACCAGGACAAAACCTTGACCAAAATATAGCACGGAAATCAAGGTCCTTTTCTAAGAAATGACTGAGCATCAAGACACGTGATGATCCTCACTGTCCCTTCCTTCCCTCCCTTCTTATTAATTTCATTTTCAATAATTTTACAGCAAAAAAACACAAACCCCACCTTGATTTAACAGCGTCTTCAAATATTAGTCTTGGAACATTTTGATCTCAGGATGAATCTTCTCTGTATGCCTCCTACAGCACCCAGAGAACCATGGATATGACATCCCTAAAGCTGCCCAGGGAAGAGCCCACCCGCAGTGCCCGGGTGCAGCTCAGCTACACTGACCACTGCTTACTGCAATGAGCTCTTCAGGTATTTTTGCAGTTCTACTTGCAAAGGTGCTTACTCAGTTAGGCTGCCCCTGAATTGGCACTGAAAAACAGGACTTAACATTCTAACTCTTAAGAGTTGGGTTTTCTTAAAAAAAAAAAAAAAAGCTGATACAAAGTGGAAACAGAGCCAGGCACTAGGTGAGATAAATCACAAGCAACCCAGGGGATGGCCACTTGCGGAAAATCAATTAGAAACTGAGTCCTGAGCACATGCTGAAAAACTAACCTTGTTTTTAGGAAAATTTACACAGGGATATCTTTTGTCATCTCATCCCAGTTTTGATCCAAAATGAATAATCAGAGCCTTCACATAGCACAGACACAACTAGGCATTTTCAGTTCACAGAACTTAAAATACGAACATTAAAAACTTTTGGTGTTAAAAGCAGAAAACAATGCTAAGTCTCAATGCTGAAACACCAATAATAGATGTTACCCTTGCAGCAGATTCCTAAGCAAGTCACAATATTCACAAAATATCAAGTACAAATAATTTAATGTTCAGTTACTACAGTCTGTAATGCTTTCAAGGAATTCATATTCTGTGAACAATGTTCCTTACCTTTAGTAGATTCCATCACTATTCTGTAAAGCATACTCCCATGTGACTACAATATTAACTAATAGGATAAGTTTTGTAAGATTTGCCCTTTGGCAGGTTTGTTGAGACAACGGTAGAAGCAAAAACCTGCAGCTCATAAAAGCTAAACCCATATAAAGGTTTGGAAAGCAGTCGTCATCAAAACTGTTTATTTAAAATCATACCTGTTATAAGTTCAGGTAATGATTTAAATAACATAATGTAAAGAGAAGAGCAAGACTCCAGAAGGAACTGTGAACTGGTATTTTATATTTACCTTTGGGATTCCAGAAGTGTCAAGCCAGTTCTGGAAGATGCTTTCAACAGTTAACCCGGACCTTGGGTTAAAAAAAAAAAAAAAAAAAAGTATTAAAAGACATGCACAAAAATACCATTTTTATGTGAAAAATAACCCTTTAGAAGCTGAGCAAACTCCCTAATTCCAAGTATTTGTAGCACTGCAGTGGTACTACATTCTCGGCTTTTTAATGACTATTACCACCAGTGGCCACGCGAGCAGATCAGGTAAATCAGGTTTTCTGTGCTCAGAACTCAAACGATAAATTCAGTGCCTATGAGGACTGACAGGGAAAGTGTCAGCTGGTAAACCATGTTTATGAAACATGTGAAGTATGAACAGGTCCCCTGCTTTTCGCTGAGTGGCTTTTTGGTTTCTTTGCAGGTAAAAAAGTCTCAAGCAAGTATATTTAGACTGAAACATTCAAAACCAAAATTTTATTAAAGAAGCAGCCTAAATATAAAGATAAAATACTAGATTAAATTAAATACAAACTTCCTCAAACTTTGGGGTTTTAAAAGGCACCGATGGATATTAACTCTCAAAGTTACCAAGTATCTAATAAATTGTAGTTTTGTCTTTTCTGCACTTTCTTTATATCCTGATAACATTCGCAGTGAAATCACAGAATAGTCTGCAGCTCCAACAAAAGGAAACAGTCTCTCATGATAAAGCTCTGTGGGACTGAAATAACCACATGTGTAAGTATTTGCAAATTCAGACATTATATTTCCCCTTTTACTTTTGCAGGCAACTTCTGTTGCATTTACCTCAACTCTGGTTGAAGACTTCCCAACTTGCAAGGAGGTCAAAAAAAAAAAAAAAAAGAAATTTAAAAAAATTTTTAAAAAGTGGCAGTGTCCATGCAGTATGCTGTCTGCCAGCACTGAAGGAAGGGAGCTGAAGAAGCCCTCAACAAATGTAAATATTCTGAGAAGGAGAACAGATGTGTGTGGTCCTGTGCACGGTAATGCCTGGGCAAGACTCATCCTCATACTTGCAGGGACCTTCACATGTGTAATGTGGACTCATAACAAACAAAGTATTCATGGAAAGAGCAACTATTTCAAAGCTCTGAATCAGGAAGGTAAGCAAACCAATACGAATTTTTCTCTGAATTATGTGATTCAAATAATTGCAGCAGTCAAGCAGAAATGCTTCTAAGTAGTTGGGATTCTGAATTTTCAGGAAAATGCTACTGTGTGTGTTTGAATATATAAATAAATTTCTTACAGAGAACTTAACATATGTGTGATGCTTGTGTAGTGTTCTACATTCAAAGAAGTTATTAAACATCCACGCTTGTTCCTTGATATTTATTCAAACTTATTAAATTTAGAGCATTTGACTGCTATATCCTTCAAAGGATAAATGCCTTCACCTTACCACCATGCTCTAAAAATTGGTGTCTAGTCTTAACTTAGTTAGCTGAGTCCCTTCCACAGGGAATAGAGAAAAGGAGAAGTATTTCCAAACAATCAATCAATTTACCTTCCTCAGAGTAAGATGACATTTGTGAGTTCTTTTTTCTGTCTGGTTACTAGAAAAACCGCAGACAGGACTAACTTAAAACTGGGCACCAAAATTTTACACAGTTAAAGGCAGATCAAGGCAGATCATGTGGATTGTACCACCTATTCCATCTCAAGTAGTATAAGCAGAATAACATTTCTTTAAAATTTGTTATCGCACAAATCAAAACAGATTCAGCTGAATGTTCTAATGCTGAAGCAGAACTAGGAGCTGGGGAAAATTCCCTTATCTGTGCATTTAGTTTGTCTTACCAAGGGATGAGAAACACAGCCTCACAATGACAGTCCTTTTTCCTTGCTCCCCAGAAGCTAAACTTATGGTGAGATTTCTTCATGATAAAAAAATCTCCACAAAATAATCTACATCACACTTGATATGTAGAGTATTTATTTAATACACTCCTAATGTCAAAAACTGGCTCTTATGACACTGAGGGCAATCACACTGTTCTGACACCATACTAATCCAGGCAGTAAACCACTAGAAAGCTACTCAAGCCTTTCCTGAAACTCTGTCCTTTTTCTCAAGGGCAAAGACAATAATGCTGCTATTTCTCTTCCTGCAGCACCCCCAGTTTGCACTGAACACCTGTCATGTGGCCACATGCAATCTTCTTTGTTTCTACCTGGACACACCTCTTTTTATTCCAACTTAGGACATTCTTGTTGGCACTTATCAAAAGAAACAACTTGGTTCAGCAGTTTAGAGGCATTCACTGGGTTTTTTTAATATATTAGTAATAAGCAGACTATTGCGAAGACCTGCTCTGCATCTCTTTAAGAGGCAGTACTGAAGAACTGTGAAGATGCTGGAAAGGCTTCCACTACCTTGTCTGGCTTCAAAACAACCCCCCAAAATTTATCATAAACCATTGCTATTTCAAAACAAACATCATAGGAAAGGAAGGCCTGATGTTTGTGGAGGCTGCAGTTCAGGAAGGGCACTGAACCACCCACTTACACTGCAGTTAAGCATCTGTAAGGGCTCAAATATGGTGTTTGTGTGAGTTTCTGGATGGCCTTCTGTTTCAGGTTCTGTATTGCACTGTAGGAGGTGGGTTCATAGTTTAGGTTCTTCAGCTGCTTTGTACTACAGTTCTCTACTGTAAAATGAGAGTGCCTTTACATCCATTATCTCCTCCCTTGTCTATTTGTTCAGATGACAAGCCAATCAGCCCAAGAATTATGTCCTGACAGTTCATGCCCAGGTTTAATGCTTCAGAGCAAGGTCTGTAAAACACTATCATTAATGATAACTTGAAAATGAGCATTAAAGAAGATGCCTATATATCAACTTCTCATTGTGCAAGGCCCCAGGGCATTCTACAAACTTCAGGATAAACCCATTTAATTCCTAAATCAAGGAGAAGAAAACATGCAAGTGCGAAACTTTTTTTTATATGTAAAGGAGGATAGAAAAGTCTGCCATATCCAACTGAAATATATAGCTGAGTAGTTTGAAATTGAAGCATTATTTTAGTAGTTAATCAACAATTTATGAATACATCCAAGGAATGTGGTCAGTGAGCCTGGGTTATTAACAGTACAAATAGCAGAGCTGTAACACAAACCTTCCTTTGTCTGTCACATATTATTAAAACCATAGCTTATTAGTGGACTTGTTTATTTTATTGAACGAAGTGAAACAAAAAATAGAAGCAGAAAACTCCAAAAACCCGAACTGACCTGCTCAAAAAAAATCTGCAGTCATGAAGTAGCTGCACGAGCAGCAACTCTCCAGAGACTGAAAGATTTATCTGAGAGCAGTGAAACTCACCCTCTGTTACAAGGGTAAACACTGAGTCTCCGCACAGCTCACGTGTTGGGCAGATGTGGAGAGGGTGAACTCGCAGCACAGACTGTGGGTGTGAGCCCTGGGGAGGAGAACAGAGCCACCAGGAGTTCTGTAAAACCTAGTGCACTGTGGTATACAGGCACATATGGGGGGGGGTTGTTGGTGTTTGTTTTAGTTTGTTTGGTTTTTTTTCAATGTAGTGAAGCTTCAGTTGTACCTGAGTAAGTAGAATGCCTCAGTTACAGGTGGGAAGTACTGCAGCCTTTCTGCAGAAAGGCCAAGAGGAGGTGAGACTCCAGCCAGTGCTTGTAATATTTTAAAAGTCTTTCTAAACAGAGAAGGATAATGAAGAATCTTTGTTTGTCCTCACCATTAGACCTTCACACACACACAAATAATCTGCTTTGAAGGCAAATTAAGGAATTATAAAGGAGCAGAAGCCACTGCTCAGCCTGTCTGGTGTCAGTATTCAGCTGCAGCCCAGAAAGAGAAGGATCCTGCCTCACAGGATGGATTTCTACAGCTAGCATGCCATTGTAATTGAATCAGAGCAGGAAGTGAAGTAGCCCTATTAACTAGGCATAAAAATCTCCTCCTCTGAACACAGAAGGCAGCAAAAATCAATGACTGCTCCCTAAAAAATTACATCTGTATCTTGGAACTACTCATCATTACGAATGTACTGTAAAATCTCCTTTAAATAAAAACGAGAGGAATTAAGTACTGAAAGGTGAGAATCTTTTAGATGTAGTCTCTGTATCCAGCAGTAGAAAGCTCATGTTCCATTACTTCAGTGTAATAATTACAGAAAATTTCCACACTCTTGCATGACCATTTTCTGCCAATATTCATCCTGTTCTCATTACAAATATCTCCCATAAGCCAAACTCTACTGCTAACCACACTAGTTTCTCTCTGTTGCCACAACTGAGGAGAGGATTTGGATTCATTATGTACTATACATCTCTCTTTTCTTTTTTTTTTAATGATTAAGACCAGGCTCCATTACAAACTTCGGTTTATTAGAGTGCTTTATATTTGTCAAATTTGAAGCATTTAGTTTAAACTTGCAAAATGTACTTGGTAGAATTGCATAAGCCTGGAAGTTTTTGTGTGCTTCAGAGAGTTTTGTAGCTCTAGTACTGAAATGCACTTCATTCCTAGAACAAACTTTGTGTAAAAAAGAACTGATCAATAGATGATCTCTAAAAATACCTCATTTTTTCTTTCCTCCATTTTCCTTTACCTCAGGTGAGTATTTCTGTAGTAGGAACAGAATGCACTTAAGAATGAAAAAACATCCTTGCAGCAGGTAAGAAATACAGGCTTTCTGTATATCCTGGCACACTATTATTCTTGCATTGCTGTTGATATCTGCACCCAAGGCAATTTTGGCAACTGATAGGTTCAGATATGCTACATATATGACTGTAAAAGGAATTACCTTGGATTTCAGATTCTGTTCCTACATCACAAATGGAGCCATTCTTCTTTTGCACTAGTCTCACTGCAAGTTTACAAACACTGGCACATGTATAGGCAGAAAATTGGATGCTTATCCAAATAACATTTTGCACTGGGTTTGGAGTTCAAAAAAATACAAGTAAAAAAAGGAAGGAAAACAAGAGGGTTTTTTAACAAATTAATGTATAATCATGCCATTAAAAAATTCACTTTTTCATATACTCCATATAATATTCCTGTTTATATTTCAGCAGGAAACTATATTCAATTATATAAACAAAGAATCATCCTACAATACATCACTGGAAAATGTAACACCACTCTAACTAAATTCAGTGTCACAAAACACATCTTCTCAACGATAATTACTTTCTCTGTCCCTCAACTATTAGGAACAGAAGTGTTTCACTAAAAAACTCAATACATTTGACTTCTATGAATTTCTTCCCTCCTTTTTTTTTCCCTCCAAAGCACTCACCCAGAGTTACATTTTTCAAGTAAGCACACTATTTTTAAAAACCATCATATTGTAAAGCTCCATTACAAAAGAATCTGTATTTGTAGCACAGGACAAACAAACAGATAAGCAGGGACAGACTCAAAGTGCTGCTAAAGACTATCTGAGTCATCCTCAACCAGTCACAGTCACACACAGGAGGACTCTGAAGGACATGTCAGGCAATTAATGCTGGATCTCCATTTGTGTTTTCCATCTTTCCTCATTTGGTATACTGTATGGCAGGGAGGAGATGGTACCAGGCTACTTCTTGAGGAAAAATAATTTTCCCTGGCTTGCCAGACTCTCAGCAAGGCTCTGGCACCCTTGCTCTAGGGTGCTACTTGCCAAAAGCAGCTGGCAGGCAGACCAGAGGTTAATTTGGGCAGGCAGCTATGCCTGGAACTCCAGATTGCACAGGGAACACAGGACATCACTTCTGACCTAACATGCAAGTCAAAGGCCCTGCTCAGGGAGAGCATGGCACAGCAGCAACACAGCAAGGCTCCCAAGTTTTTGTGTGCATATGTAGGGGGATTTTCAGAAACACACACTTGAAAGAAACAAGCAGGATAATCCTAAATGAAATCCCACTATTTCTGGCTGGCACAGTTGATATTTAAATCTGATTTTTACTTCCCCCCACCCTTTTTTTTTTTTTTTTTTTTTTTGCTTTTCTAGCCCAGTTCTTACTTTTTTTGTTTAGGGATGTCTTCCAACAGCATGCCAAGGAAATCCTGGAAAACAAACAAAGCACCACAGTTAGTATGTTTATGAAGATGTAACACTGTGTCAGCATTGTTAGTGAGCAATACTTTTTTTAAAGACTGCAAATAAAAGAATGATAAGAAATAAATTTATATATCCGCTGTGGTGATATCTTGCTCAGTTATTTATACATTATATATATATATATATACTCAGTTATATACATGATGTTGTTTGTCAGTTTTCCAACCCACTCAAGAAAAACATGCCAATATTGAAAGAAAATGGACTTGAAAAGCCTGCTGACTATTTCAACACAATCCCACATTCCCACTCTTATCTACAACACACACACACACTATACTTAAAATTGTTAAAGGCTGCAGGTTCACATCCTCAAAGGTTAAGAAACACCAAAATTAGGGGTGTTTACATGTTCTTCAGTGTGCTTATGTTATCAAACTGTCTTTGATTATATAATTGCATAAGGCTTTTTCTTCCTTAATGCCATGCCTGACTAGAGGATTGCACCTACTCCCCAAAATCCACAACGCTGCTGATAACCATGTCAACTAATGAGTAAATTCACTTCTATGCTGTTTCATAAATCAGTACATCCACTTTATTAACACTAATCTTCATGGAGACAAGTTTCACAGGCTATTACTGTTCCTCACGGCAGTGCATGAGTGCAGGCTGATTTCTGATGGAAAGCTGTTGCTCTTTAAGGCCTTCAAGAATGTTTCCTGAAAGGCAATCCTTCATTTAGAGACCTTGCTACAGCAACCAACAAAAGGTGCTCTTTCTCTGAGCATGGTATTGTTAGGGGATCAAAGTAAGAGTGACTGCACAGTTGAAACTACTCTTGGCACAGTTAAGCCTTCCTCCTTTAGATTTCCAGTGAGACTCAGGCTACATAGCAGTGGCTGCAAAATCAGCCTATGACAAAAAGTAAATTACACAGTGCTGGGCTCAGTGACGCTACAGCAAGAATGGCATCACTGTGACAGGAGTCATTCTGCCCCAGCTACAGTGTATTGCTGACACAGTGATCCAGTGTGAAATTTCCTTATTTCATGGTGCTGCTTGAAGTTCTGTGCCATTACTCTGTATGTAAGCAGAACTACTGCACCCCCTCCAGTTGTGGAAGTTTTGCTGGAGGTACTGAGTAAGCTTACATGCAAATAAAGACAATGAAAAGCTCGTGATTAGAGTTGTTCGAAAAGTGTGTGAAAAGTGAAACTGAAGTGGACACCCTTCACAGTATTTGCTGTGTCTGTACATATTAATGCAGCTAGATTCTCTGATTGGATTGCATCAACTTTTTATAATCAATCACATAGTATACCTAAAGATAGCTCTGGTATTAGAAATGAGTTTATATTCTGTATACTACGCTATGAAATTAAACATCTTCATGATTAAAGTTGTCTTCATTTTTCCAAATATCTAATAAGAATAATGTAGTAACCATCATTCAACACACTTTCTTAAAACTAGGATTAATCTGTTCTATCTTGTTTTAACTGCTCCTATTTTGATGCTCCAAAACAAAGCAGGAAAATAGATTACCACTTACCTCGTGTTAGCACGGCTTTTAACATTTGCCTGTTATCAAGTCTGCATGACACATCTCATTATAGGTCTAACTTTGCAATTGCTGACAATTTTGCCAAACTTAAACCATCTGGATTGAAATTTTATCCTCAAGGTATTTTTTCTTCCTCCTCAGATGAAACAATTTAGAAGCGCCCAAGAGAAAACCCAGAGGGAAATGCAGGGGTTGTAAGCTTTGATGCCATGTCCCGGGGACCTTACACTTTGAAGCAAAGACTTGTGGATGACCAGGGTAATCACAAATAAATTCTGGATCAGATCATAAAATAAATTATAGTTTGTTCTTTGTCTTTGCTGCAAGTAATTCAGTGAAGGCAGAAACAAAATATGAACTGGAAGTCATGTGCCACCACAGTGCTGGCTTACACTGACATGATTAAATAACCTCAGTACTCCTGTTGCTCTTCCCTGGAGAGACCCAGAGGCTAGAAAACAACTTTTCCCTATATAAAGAAACGGTTATTCTGCAGTTTCTGGAATTTTATTGACATCTGGCCAAACTGAAAAAGCCTTTGAAAAATGAGTTGACACACGTTCAGTAAGGATTTGCTAGCCCCTCATAATTAAATCCCCTAATGACTCTAGTGTGCTCTCACTGTAGTCCTGACTGACGCCAACAATTTTAATCACAACTACAACTTTGGGCTGCTGCTGGGTAGGTCAAATCTGGATAAGGCTGTGAATCTGAGATCAAGGAGAACTTTTCTTTGCACTGTTAATGGCTGTACACGTGTTGGTATCAAATAAAGAACACTCAGTATTAAAAGACAAATTATATCTTCATATGAAAACCTCAAATCTAGATATTTCAAACACTCTACAACCAACAGATACTTTAGTTTATATTCTCTGACTGAAATATAAATGAGGTGCATAAAAGAAATGGAGATTTCATGACTAAAAGTGATACATCTAAATGGACATTCAAGTGGCAACAAATAAACTCACATTGCACTTGCATCCACTTTCTTGCAGAAATTATCCACTCAAAGTTAAACTACCCCTGTCAAATATGCAGTTTGTAAATTACATAACTAAATGGTAAATGTTAATTTATCCCCTCTGGGTGGAAAAATAAATAATGAGCACCATTTGTAGGTCCCTGTTTATTTGGAATTCCCTCCCCATTCATCTTCCTGGCTTTTATTCAGCAAAATCAACAACCTTTTAAAATCCTTCTGTTGGGATATTGGTGACAAGACCAGAATGCACCTCCAAAGATGATAATTTCCTACCAAGAGCAAGCTTGACTCCCCACCTATACGTTCTATTATCAGGCAGCAATCATTGGCCAGACAGCTGAGAAGTTTAAGCCCCAGGGATGGAGCCCCTGACCAGCTTCAGTCAAAAGTTGGATTTGCTGCCTGTTATAACAGACAGAACTACATGAAAATTAAAGTCTGTAAACAATTCAATCCCCGAGATATTCCCATCTCAATATGAAACAGAACAACTGCTTTAAGTGTGCGAGGAGTATCAGCAACTTGCACTTCTTCCTTTTTAGTTACAACAAATAACACTCCGCTCATTATTTCAAAACTTCATTCAAAGCAATTAGTAAGTGGATTCTCTCATAGAAAGAGAACTGGAAGATTTTTTTTTTTTAAATCCTTGTCAAAGATTCAAGAGTGGTTTTACTCACCTACTGCTAACTCAGTTAAAATAAACTACTACTAAAATCTTATTGAGCATGCAAACTAAATGAAGGAAAAAGGCAAACTGATTAACGTTTCACGTCTGAAGTAATTTCCTTGCACCTGCAGCTCCCATCTAGGAAAATTGCTACAAACATAACTGAAAACAAGACTAGTATTCATAACATGGGCAATTTTTCAATGTTTTTACTTTTCCTTACGCCCAGAATTCCTAAAGCTGGAAACTTTTACCATTATTTCGGACAAGGTGAAAATACAGCACTACAATATTAAACTTACCATTTTCACCTCTATTTATTTTAAATCTTATATTTATATTTATATTATATTATATATTTATCATGTAAACACCGACAGCATGGTTGTTCAAGAAGAAACTTGAACAAGAAACTTTGTACTAACTTGATTTTATTGCTTCCTTCATCACCACTGACAGGATTCCTAGAACTTTGGGTTCATATTTCCTAAATGTTTCCTTTGGGTTCAATTTCCTAAATCAAAACAAAACTAGAGCAAACAGTTCCAGGAGTTTTCCACAAAGACCTAGGGGGAGGTAAATTTCCACCCGTTCAGATTTGTCCCCATAAGGACACCGAAATGACAAGCACTGAATGAAGCAGCATGCAGAGAGGAAGAAAATCAAGCCAGAAATATGATTTCTTCTCTTGGAGAAACAGAGAATAATCAGGGAAAAGACTGACTGATCACAAGGAAAACCCGTTAGCTAAAAGATTATGGGAGACAATTCCAGTATGATAAAATGACCCTATCTTTCATGTGAGCATCTATGAATATTGACCTTTCAATGCAGCAAGTTAAAATAATCACCCATTGTTTATGTTATCTATACTAACAAGACAGTAACAAGGTGTCTGATTTATGTAAAACTGTGAAAAAAACGTTCTGCCCTCTACCTAGCAGGCAGTAATTTCACCTATATTGCCAAATGACAACTGCCTCTCTCTGTACACCACAACCAGAAGTGAAGATTTACACAGTCAATCCAAAAGTCTGAGCCTTTATTTTTTATTTTTTTTTTTTCAGAAGGTGAAGCACAATGCCAGGCACAGTACCTGAGAAAGGACGAGCTGCCCGTGGAACTTACGGACGAATTTTTGCAAGGACGCAAGGTACGAGGCCTCTCCTATCGTCCTTGCCAGAGACCTCAACAGAAAGTAACCCTGTGACACGTTAAGGCAGAAACAAAGAGGAAACTGTGAATTTGCTGATGTCCACGAGACAGAAATCTTTATCACATTTGTGAAGCAATTTCAGTAAAAATCAGCTGACAACACTCACCTTCAAATAGTGAACCTGCATGAAGATTTTTTCTGCTTTAAGACCGTATTTGACAACAGATGCTCCAGACTCACTCAGTTCTCCTGTGCTCTCCTTGTTGGGCCTAAAATGGAAACACACTAATTAAGTTTTGGATAAGTAAGTAAAGAATGAACTGACACATTACACATTCTAATAGCTGACAGCATCATGAACGGCATGGTAACTTCAGACACCTGTGACTACCACACAAAGTAAAATTTGCAAAAATATAACTGTTCAAAATCAAACAGCAAAAAAAGAGGCACATGCAGTTTTACACTGTCTTCCTAACAGTCCTCTTCCATGATATAGTTCATAAACACCTTCCCAGCAAGATCTTCTCTCAACATTGAAAGAAGGAGACCAATTACTGATTTCTTATTCTATCAGTTTCCAGTTCTTTTAGACTATGGACACACTGCAGACCCACTGTAGAAGAGCAAAAATCCAGCTTCTTCCCTTCTGGATCAGCCTCCTGGAAGGAAGGGCTGCTGGCATTGCATATGTGACTCTTCATTGTGTTCTGCATACATAAAAAGCCAAAACTGCTTTATTTCACTTACAATAAATAGCCCAGTCTACTGACTTTTAAAAATGGAGTCTGAGCACAAGCAACAGGTCTACACTAAAATGAAATATCTTCCATAATCACATTTATTCTAAATTAGGCTCTACTTCTTTCTTTGTCTTACTTTGTGCCTGTATAGGTTCTAGGATTTGACTAGAAATGAGTATTGCATGTGGATGATGGTACTGAAGAATCCCATCCAGAAAACGTATATTCATCCTTCTGCAAAGGCTGTACATATACTCTTGATAATGTCTGTAAAAGAGTGTAACTATTCATAAAGTTACCCAGTTCTCTGCTGTCAGTTCTTCAGCACAGCACTTTAAAGCAATGTCACAGGGCACTGAAGGTACAGAGACTGAAAGTTTGTTACACTGACCTACAAAAGCTGGCATTTGACCTAATAGACAAAGCTAGGCACACTGCTAAAGGCAAGTTGTTTCAAAGCATCCAACCTGTCTTCTGGCACATCTTAGACACTGGCAGTTTTCTGAAGGACGTGGAAGATGCTGCTTTGTTTGCTGGGCAGAGGAATATATCACACAAAGTAGAATGTCGTTGGTAATTAAATGCTCTGTTGCACCAGGTAGTCATGAAAACCTATGCAGAGACTATGACAGACCATCTGAAAGGCACATTTCCTACCAGACAGAGTAAGACTCTTTAAACACCTACAGAGCAGAAAGACAATTGCTTCAGGATAGAAATGGATTTGACACAAGCAGAATACAGAACCCAATTTAGAGTCAGATATCAACATTGGTTATCCTTAATGAACAATCACAAGCTGAAATTCAGTCAAAAGGGCCAGGACATGAAATAAATCTCAGCACCAGCTTTATTCCACAGAATAGAATGGGACTTCTCTAAGTCTTCTTCACTTTCCTAACATGAGAGGCTGAACAAGAGTGCTGGTGTTCATGCTTGCCAGCAGAATGAGTGGCAAGACATATTTCAGGGTGTTTTTATCCCTCCAGATTTGCTTCAAAACGTGTGAGAAGATACATGATTCTGTTGGAAAGTTTTATCCCATATGAGCACTACAGTGCCATAAACTTCTTCCCTACTAAGATCTGCTGGTGCTGCCTTTCAGAGTTGCTGCCTGTTGAAAAGACACTCGCCTATTCCTTTCTGAGCTCTTTTTTCACAGGTAGTTTATGACATGCTACTACAACATAATACCAAATTCCATAATAGGAGGAAACATCAGACTGCTAAACATTTTGCTGAGTGGCTTTCACCTAGTCTAAACACGCATTGCTTTGCTGGATCAAAAGCTAATAGGATCAGCTGACAAGTCTTGGGCAGAATTTTCCAGCTGTCAGGAGAAAGCACAGAAAATCATATGATTGTCCAACAGGGAACAAAAAAGTCATTAAGAATAAGCTTATGCTTGGGAAGAGTGGGTTGGCTGACTTTTTTTTTTTCCTGACATGACTGGTAAGAAGGAACAAACAGTTATCATTTACTGTTAATATCTGGTACGAGAACACAAGTTTGAACCAGCCCAAGCCTCAGTACAGGCTCAAAACTCAGCTCGGCTTCAGTCCTGTCCCTTCAGGGCAAGGACTGAAATTTTCTCTCTTATATGCCAGTTTTGAAAAGCATAAGATATACTTTCAGAAGGATAAAGAAAAGAAAAAAAAAAAAAAAGTAAATATGCAAAGAGAGAACCTAGTCAAGTCCATACTACAAAAATAGTAGATAGTATTTATATGTGACTGAAACCAGTAAAAAGCCCCTAAATACAAGAAATTAGAGACATTAAAGGAGAAGAGATGGCCAGAATCACAAGCTGGCATCAGGTGCCTCTCCTCAAGTGTTTATTAGAGGCATGTTTTTTCAAATTTCCCACTCCTTTGCATTAGCATTGAGAATACCAGTATGCATAAGGTAAGCAGGATTTTTCCTCAGAGACTTATGTCTACTAACTGTGGGATTCAATAGAAAGCTTAAGTTCCAATTTCAAAAGAAATCAATTGTTCCTGAGTTTCAATCTACAAAGGATTTTGACTCTCAGAAAAATTATTTTAAAACTTTACACAGCATAACATTTTATTAAAAATAACAGCTACAGAATTAACACGAAAGAAAACAAATGTGACTCCATACTGTTGAAAATGGAAAACATACATCCAGATAAGCCTCATATCACAAAAAACAAATATTAAGAAATAAAGAATATGAAACAAACCAAAACCTCAGCATCTGTCAAGCAGTAGTTCTGCAGCAGCTCTGTGACAGCTAGTGGTAAACCTCACTTTTGTATTTACACTTATCAGCAAATTGCATACTCACAAATGTGTAAATTCATTGACTCTGCTTACACATAGGATACAGAATTCAGCAATAAACATAAAGTAAACCAGATCAATGAAAGGCTACAGTTACAAAGTTGGTGATTACATGGAGAAGAATTTCTATGCTGGTGTTGAACAGTCTCTAGTGCCCAAAAGACTTTTAGGTCCTACTGGGCAAGCACAAAAAAAAGGGAAGACCTTAAATGAATGAAATGGAAACAGTCTTTTAAAAACATTTAAAAGATGATTATGTCGAAGATGGGCATCAATTTGTTCTTCCACTTGGTGAAAGAAAAGAAGAAATCTACAAAGTTTGAAAAGAGCAATATTTCAGCTGTGCTTTAGAAAGCAATTTTTAGCTGTTAACACTAAGCTTACCTGTCTTATTGAGACACTAAGACAGCTTGGCTCTCCTATGAAAACTTTTTTGTTGGAGCTTTCTAAGAACATGTCAGTAAAAACCCACTTAGGATGGTCTGTGTGTATGGCCTGTATTTCAGAGCAGGAAAATGGTCTCCATAATGTCCTGAAACTTGCTCTTGTAATTCCATGGTTTGGTCAGTGTTGGCCTAACTTGAACCAGGACTAGTTATGTTGTTTTTCTTGGTCAAAGACTGTGGGGAGACAAGCAGGGCAGACTCGGTGGATCTTGAGTTAGGCAGACACTCAAGATCAAAGACGACGGCAACTTTCCAAGACACGAAGCAGAACAGCCCAGATTATTAATCACTGAGAAAGCAAGAATGTTTTTAGCTACCTAAAAAGTAGCCTTGAGCTTACCATCTGGTACCTGAAGACCAGAATCCATTTTCAATATCATTATTTGTAATTTCTACAGAGAAAGTAGATTTATATAGTTCATCGTGCTTTTTCCTTGTTTTCTAAAGCCTCATTCAGCTTGGCAGTAGATACCATGCTGCTGTTTGTGCTCATGTTCAGGCACAGAAAATGAATCTGTTACAGCTTCCAACTGAGAACTTCGTTCAGGAAATGGCTTTTTTCCCCCTAAATGGTGGCTCTTATAAACTGCTTAGAGAGATTTCATATCAAACTAAATCCCATGGTTTCTGAAAGCTTTCTAAAACAAAGGGAGAAGCAATTGCATTACAGTCAAGACGAATAACCTTGTCAACTTAATTTGCATTTTATTTTTTCATTAGAGGGAAATAAGGAAACGCAGTGGATCTAATCAGATGATTTGGATGTATATCTTTCGAAGGGAGAAAATGTGGAAAACAGGAGAGAGAGCACACGCAAGACTATGCTCTCATATTGTTACCTTAAAACTTGTAGCTCTTCTTCAGAGTTTTGTACCTCGTCCCTGAGGCGGCGCCAGCGAAGTAAAGCTCTCAGCTCCTGCTGCCCTTTCACTTCATCATGTGGGAGCTGCTTGGTAAACAAATAAACACAGATCACTGAATGCTGTTGCCCAAGAGACAATAATAACTTTCAGAACAAGAAACTCGTTCTGTTTCTCTTTAATATTTAGAAGATGTATGAAATGTACCAACATCAATGATTAAAAAAAGGGGAAAAAAAAAAAAAAGAGCCAAAAATAACAGTTGATGCTATGAGAGTTAATAGCAGCATGAAGAAAAACAAAAGCCTCACTGTGCACATCAAATCAATAGACTGTTAAATAGTTCTGACTGAGGAGAGAGATGAGCATGTTGTTTTTCCTTTAGTGACTGGCAATAAATGAACTGACTATAAACAGTACAGGTACCTGGCATAGCAGATTTTACTGCATCTTCACCCAGCTGCATTGGGTCCTGACTTCATTCCTCTTTCCTACTATTCCGGCTACATTTGTGAAAGCTCCCTGTGGTATTTCCCCCATTTATGTAATATTAACAGAGATTCATACTTACAAAATAAATGCCAGGTTGTCAGCTGACAAATAAACACTTACTTATGTTTCTCTGTTATAAGAATAGATGTGAGATGGAGGAAAGTGAAAGCAGCTCATATTACCCTGAATTACATTCAGTCACAACTGAAGTGACTGTCATGCACTACAGAATGTATTCATAATCCTAAAATTGTATAATTGAATAGCTTCAAAATTACTCAGTAATGTTTAAAAGGTATGCCTTATACACTAACAAGGGAACTAATCACACTGTTTTGTTGCCTCCTCCTTTCCACTTACTTACAAGGAAGGTGTCCACCACAATCAAAATTCTTTCAAGTGACTCACAAAAAGAAAGAATTGATGTGAACAGCTCACAGCAGTGTAGTCATGCTCAGTGTAAGGCCATAAATGAGTTTTGGAACCAAAATGGAAAGGCCACATATTTGGACAACCTCTCTTTCTTGTTCCAGAAATATGGTAAGTGTCAAGGAATTCTGTTTGGTGCTGTAAGTATGGCTGAGACTTAATAAAATGGAGGTTTGGAAGAGTGCATTAGGTCAGCTCCCAGATCAGCCTGCTCTTCCTCAGATGAGGTCTGCAGACTTCAGGGGCAGAACCTGGCACAGGCTCAGGCAGAAATGACTGACACACAAAATGCTTGAAGTAGTAGAGGTACTACAAAAGTTAAGAATTGCATCAGAAAAACACTTTACAAGCTGAGAGACAACTTGTGAGCTTTTCACCCTAAGGCAGTCAGTGATTTCTAAGATTCTGACATGAGAGTAACCCTTGGTGGCCACATAAGCCAAAAAAAAAAAAAAAAAAAAACTAAGTTCCCTATTTAAAATCATCTTCCATTTTGCTTTGAGGTATGCTTCCTGGTCATCCATTTGAAACAGAAAACTTCCATTAAGTACCTGGAATATTACAACATGCAGTAACACTGCTGATTGTTCCAGTTTCAGGTACACAACATAAGTGGAAAGAATGCAGAGCCATTGCTTGGTAGCTGAATTTTAATAGTTTAGTGGTACATTCATGGAAAGGTAATAACTGAAAAACAGACATTTCCATTCTCATTAGCACCAGCCTCTACCACTGTAAAGATTTGTGTTCCATGCCATGCATATAATTTTGATTTCCACATTAATTCAATTTTGGAACTGTGTATCATCACCTTACCTGTTGTGCCCTGGCCCAAAATACATCTTCTAAAAAAGTGGCAAACCCTTCACTTATCCACTCCTCAGTCCAGTCACGAGCACCAATGGCCAGTCCAAACCAAGCATGAGCAATTTCATGGCACAGACGCGTTCCACAGAGATGGCTCCCTCCTGACAGGACACTCTGTGACAGGAAGATGATGTGTGGGCTGCACAAAAGGAGTGACAGAATACATTATTGACCTGGTACAACGTGCACTGCATGGGAACCAAAGAATGGCCTGGATTGCAAGGGACCTTAAAGATCATTTTGTTAAACCCCCCTGCTCTGGACAGGGACACTTTTCACTATATCAGGTTGCTCAGAGCCCCATCCAGCCTGGCCAAGTGATGGGACAGGCACAACTTCTCTAGAAAACTGTTCCAGTGCCTCACTACCCTCACAGGGAAGCATTTTCTCTTATTATCTAATCTCAATCTCTCCTCTTCCAGTCTGAAAGCGTTCCCCCTTGTCCTGTCACTACATGCTCTTGTAACAAGTCCCTCTCCAGCTTCCTTGTAGGTTCCCTTCAGGTAGGCTTTATTAGCCTGTAAGCTTCTTATTAGTATATGCATGCTAGGTCATGACTAATAGTTTATAACTCAAGCATTTTTAGGAATTAAGTTGTACTTTATTGTTGGTTGGCAGAGAATCAAACTGAAATTCCACCAAGCAGTTGCATTGTATTCAACCACCAAACCTGTAAGAAGTAACTTAAACCAGATTTATTTTCAAACTACAGGGCTGATTTATTTCAACAGAAACATTCATCACAGAGAGATGAGCAGGTGTGAATGTAGGCAACAAGTATTTATCAGCTCAGTGATCAAAGATGGAAATAAATAAAGCAGAAACATTTACTAAAGAAAACAAATCACTATCAGTATGTTACTAAAAGTTGCAAGAGTAATGTAGAGTGAAACACAAGTGCTTGTTAAAACTTACAACAACCTAAGAAGATGCCATCTCTTGATAACAGTTGATCCTTTCTGCAAATGCAGAGGAAGAAGAATTTATTTTACCACAACCACAAAAATGAGAAGAAGTGAATATCTGCTTTTCACAACATGGGGGGAACAATCCAATCTGTAACTACTCTGCTTTGGACTCAAATACTATAAAAAGAAATTGGAGGAAGACTGTCATGAATTACCGCTCTACTATGGAAAACACACTGAACTGCAAGTTACTGCAGCTCCATGTTCTACTGTGAGGCAGTTTCTGCTCTGCTTACAGACATTACAGACCTTAACTTCTCAAAAGCTGTAACATTTCTGAAACTGACTACATCTAGGAAATAAAGCAGCAGAATGAAGCCCTCTAACTAATGTACAAGAGGTAATTAGTGCACCACGTCACAGATGGAGTGGCAAGGGCACAAATCAAGACAACCACCTGCAGAGTACTCCTGCTCAGTTAGTACTCCTTCCAGTCAGTTAGAAAGGAAATAAAGCACAGTGGTAATACCTCCAAGACCACAGGTCTTTAGAACTTAGTCCTAAAGCACGGGAGGGGAGTGCATGGCCTTAAGGCACTTCGAAGAGTCAAATATTATTCATCAGCATTCCAGAAAGCTTCCCCACCCGCCCTACCCTTCCGCTGGAAATGTTGTAACACCCACATTTTTCCTGCAGCCAGTTGAACGTCTGGAACTGAGGCCATAAAAGATGATATGCACTCACACTCAACAACCATCTCCCTATAAAAAATAGTAGTCACCCAGCCAAGCAAGTTAATCCATTTCAATCAGGTGGCATTGTAAGAAACAATGTAAGAAATTAAAGAACTAAATCGAGGAACCAAGTAACACAGAACAAAGTAAGAAAACACAGTGGCTCTCCAAACCTTGACCAAGAACCAATTCTGATTCAGAGAAGGAAGGGAAGGAGAGAGAGATGAGGGGAAAGTTGAACACAGAAGCTGCAGAATACTATTAATTTTTTATTATAAAGTCCCTGATGAGAAGAACAGCCACAACTTTGAGGGCATTACGTCAAACAGTTTTGACTAAATGGCTCCTAACTGTGGCATGTGTACATGCTACAAAGAAAAACTGCAGAAACAGATCAAGTACATAACATTACAGGCATACTGCTGGCAACATTTTGGCCATTTGGTTAAGGAAGACAAAAGTAACTTCATGCCTTATAAAGAGGCTCACAGAACAGCGTACATTTTAAGTCTACAGTAGGTAAATATATAATAAAAGTAAAGATTGCATTTTCTGCTTTTTCCAATCACTTAAAAACCACAAATGCTAAAATTTTGGACAATATCCTCCTTTCTAGAAGGATTACAAATCATTTCAGTGAGAAAAATACATAGGAGTTAAATTTTGGCCATAGAATATGAGTACAGCTTCCTACAAGGCTAAAAATTAGTTTATGTGCTGCAGTAGAGTTTAATTTTAACGTCTGAGTACAGCCAGCAACTTCCTTTACAGAGAACAACTTAAATGATTCCTTTTATTTTGTTTGCCCTTAAAAAACAGTTCTATCTCCAATTCAGAGCAGTGCAAAGTTCCCATATATCTTAAGAGTAGTTTTATCAGACTGAACTCTCTCTGGAACATGTCCATGACCTATTAGTTTGGGGAAAAGTTTCACTCCACTTATTTCTTTAAACACGGAAACTCTATTTTCAGTGCATGTTGAACTTCAGAAACTCTGCTCTGCCTCTACTGATACCAACCAAATCTACATTTCTAACATCGTCTAGGATGTGCAGTGTTCACAGAATCATAAAATGGTTTGGATTGGGAAGGACCTTAAAGATCACAGAGTTCCAACCCCTTTGCCAGGGGCAGGAGCACCCTTGACCAGACCAGGTTTCTCAGAGCCCCATCCAACCTGGCCTTAAAGACTCACAGAAATCTACAGCTTCTCTAGGAATCCTATTCCAGTGCCTCACCACCCTCATAGGAAGGAGGTTTTGTCTGATATATAACATAAACCTATTCTCTTTCAGTCTGAAGCCATTTCCTCTTGACCCGTCCTTACACGCCCTTGTAGAAAGCCCCTCTAGATCTTTAGTTCTTTTCAGGTACTGGAAGGCACCAACCAGGTCACACCAAAAGCCTCTCTTTTCCAAGCTGCACAGTCCCAATGCTCTCAGCCTTTCCTCATAGGGGAAGTGCTTTATCCCTCTAAATCTTGGTGACCCTCCTCTGGACTCACCTGAACAGGTCAGTGTCCTTCCTGAGTTGGGGAAATGTTGTGAATGTTATTAATTGCAAAACATAGCAATGTTGTTCCTAAAACAATAATATAAGAAGGTGTCTAAGTGAAAAATAAGTTAATTGGAATGGTAATTAAAATTGCAAGACCTTTTTTTTTTTTTTTTTTCTTTTTAACCAGAAGGTGGATTTGGCCTTCCTACCATCTGTATAAATTCTAAGGCTTGATATCCATTTCTTTGATTTTAATTGAAAAGGAAAGAAAACCATTCATCCTTTAGGAATGGACAAAAGTTCACCTCTGAAATTACATCAAGACCTGGCGAGGTCTGTGTGGCTTATAAATGCCTCTAGCAAGTCTGGTCCAAGTTTCTAAAGCAGGCCAGAACAGGCTAGCTGGATGCACTAAGGAAGATGCAAAACCTCTCCTAGTCAACCAAAAAAACAACCACCCCACCAGTCCTTCCCAGGAAGCTGGACAAGTTCCCAATGGCTCTCACAGAAAAAGAAGTTAATGACTTGTTTTCAACAAGTATACACTTGGTTACACTTCCACAGCAAAAGAGTGTTATTCTGATGAGAATCACACGCACGTAACTCAGATATCTGCATCACTGCACTGGAAGAAGGAGCAAGTTCCCTCTCCCAGCTGAAGTGCAGTTAAGGGAAATCTTGACACCATAACTATGGCACAAATACATATAAAGGAAAAACTGAGCCCTGAAGGAAAGAAACTGTGGTTGTGAAAGGCCAAAGAGTCCTGATGTTCCAATCATTCAAATTCACCATGCAGATATTCTTAGGATATATAAGATATTCTCAACAGATGGTCTCTTCAGCAAATAAAAGGTTTTCCAATGAGTCCTAAAGCTCTGAGCAGCAACCTGACCCGTCCAGAGGCCAAATCTCTGGCAGCAATTTTTCAAAACTTTTTCTCTAGACTCCTGAATCAGAGGCAGGTGCTGCTTTGTACACAGTGTGTAACAGGGGGCTATCTTTGGCTGCTCACACACCATCAGGTGAGGCACACAGCCAAAATGTATGTGCAACAACTGAAGGACACACTTAAGCTGGGGACGTGAAACTCATTTCTAACAGACTTGTTCCACTCCTTTTGAAGTAGAAGTCTTTCCCTCTTAATGTACACAGATTTGTATACACATTTTGTTATGTACTTATTGAAACAACAGAGCCAAGATGATTGTCAGTTAGGAAATTATGCTTCTGGAGTCAAAAGTAGCACCAAAATTCACTATTACAGATAGCAGTTACGTATTTCAAAAAAAACAAACAAACATATTTTGACAGTACTCCACAAACTGCTTATCTTTGCCTACCTAGGAAAAAAGCAGTCAGATAGTAAATGGGTAAAACAGATATTCTACTTCTAGAAAATCCCTTTTAAACATATAGAAGGGGAAATATCTCTAAAATATTTTCTTAGGAACACGTTAAAATTAGGATATACATCTCAAGATTATTGGAATTTGAGAAAGAAAATTAAATGACAGCTCTTCACAAATACTTTGTGCAAACTCTCACCACTTGCCTTTAACCCACATTGTTCCTGTGATACGAAGAACACTATTACCACAATGTCTGCAGTATCTACACCAAACTTTGAATGCCAGTTTGCTTTACCTTTGAGGACACTTGTGCCCTTGGAATGTAGACACAGGGACATGTAACATCCACTTTCTTACCTCTCCAATCTCCAGCAGGCTAGTGTGTGTGCCAGTCCAGTACTGAGAGAACCACAAACAACCTTTTTAATCTCCTATGTTTATAGTACACCATAAACTCAAGAGACAAGAACCTGGTACTTAAAATACTCTGAGCACTGTTACAGGTTCGATGTGCTTCAAAAAAATAAACAAAGAATTTGATGCACTCACAGCTAATGTGAGATCACCCTAAAGGAAGAACCCAACTCATTGTCCACAATTAAATTCTCTTAACTTTATGTTCACAAGTGAAAAGATATACTATATCCT